CGCCGGGCACCGCGCTGGCCCCGACCGGCGAAGGGGGGATGCTGCGCGGGGGCGGATGGAGCGCGGTTGTGTGGTCCGAGTCTATATGACCCTGTTTCGTTTCCAGCCATGCCCTGTGTTCAGGCTCAGTATGGGTCCTCGCCTCAAGGAGCCAGCCCGGCCTCCCAGAGCTACGGTTACCACTCTTCGGGAGAATACAGCTCCGATTTCTTAACTCCGGAGTTTGTCAAGTTTAGCATGGACCTCACCAACACTGAAATCACTGCCACCACTTCTCTCCCCAGCTTCAGTACCTTTATGGACAACTACAACACAAGCTACGACGTGAAGCCACCTTGCTTGTACCAAATGCCCCTCTCCGGACAGCAGTCCTCCATTAAGGTGGAAGACATTCAGATGCACGGCTACCAGCAGCACAGCCACCTCCCCCCCCAGTCCGAGGAGATGATGTCCCACTCGGGCTCCGTGTACTACAAGCCCTCGTCGCCCCCGACCCCCTCCACGCCCGGCTTCCAGGTGCAGCACGGCCCCATGTGGGACGACCCCGGCTCCCTGCACAACTTCCACCCCAACTACGTGGCCACCACGCACATGATCGAGCAGCGCAAAACGCCCGTCTCCCGCCTCTCCCTCTTCTCCTTCAAGCAGTCGCCCCCCGGCACCCCCGTCTCCAGCTGCCAGATGCGCTTCGACGGGCCCCTCCACGTCCCCATGAACCCCGAGCCGGCCGGGGCGCACCACGCCGTGGACGGGCAGGCTTTCGCCGTCCCCAACCCCATCCGCAAGCAGCCCTCCATGGCCTTCCCGGGGCTGCAGCTGGGCCACGCTCCACAGCTGCTGGACAGCCAGGTGCCCTCGCCGCCCTCCCGGGGGTCCCCCTCCAACGAGGGGCTCTGCGCCGTCTGCGGGGACAACGCCGCCTGCCAGCACTACGGCGTCCGCACCTGCGAGGGATGCAAGGGCTTCTTCAAGGTGAGCGGGCGGCGGGCAGGGCGGCGGGGGGGGACCCGCCGGGGCGCGGAGCCGCTTTCCCCTTCAGATGGAAATTGGTTAGGACAGAGAACCGTGTCTGAGCTAACCAAGTGGAACAGAATTCCCTGTGGTAAAATTAAGTGATCTCTTTATTTCACCATCCTGATTGAATAATCTTATCATTTTAAATAGAGAAGGTCTCCAAGGAATGTAAATAATATGAATGCCCACGGATTTGTATTTACCGAGCGTCTCCTTCCCTCCTCTTGGCATATAAAACACAGCTAGGAGCTGCGAGGTTAGCTCAAATGTTAACGCTATCAATTTTCTCCTGTTAAATGCCCTGGAAAAAAAAAGGGAAAAAAAAAAAAAAGGAAGGAGGAAAAAAGAAAAGGGAAAAAGAAAAGAGAAAAAAGAAAGGGGGGAAAGAAACGGGGAAATAGAAGAACGGGGAGAAAAGAAAGGGGGGAAAAAGAAGGGGAAAAAGAAGGGGGGAAAGAAAGGGGGAAAAAGAAGGGAAAGAAGGGAAGAGAGAAAAGAAAAAAGAAAGAGGGGAAAAAAGAAAGGGGAAAAAAGAAAAATGGAAAAAAGAAAAGGAAAACAAAAAGGGAAAAAAGCAAGAGGAAAAAAGAAAAATGGGAAAAAAGAAAGGGGGAAAAAGAAAAGGAAAAAAGAAAGACGGAAAGAAAGAAGGGGGGGGAAAGGAAGAAGAAGCAGGGGGGAAGAAAAGGCAAGCAGTCTTCATTTGAATCAGTATCCACTGTGTCCCAGCTAGCACGGGCAGAACTGACAAACAGCATAAATTGTGTGAATTATCAATATTTATAATATATATGCATCTTGGGATCTTTTCGTACAAAGCAAATGTAAAAGGCAGAAACTGAATGTTAACTTGCATGAAGGCAGTGAAAATATAACCCTTGGCTACCAGCTTCTGCAATTAGTTTATGGTACTTTTTCCAGTGAACCAAATAGATACTGTTTGTTGCAACATAGAACTTGATTCCTATTTTTTCCCCTCTAGCTTAGGTTTCCATGCAGTATCTGGCATGACTGTATTTACACTGCTGAAAGGCAATAATTAAGTAGGATGACTGTATCTGTTGTACATCTCTTTCCTTTTTTCCAGTGTGACAAGGAACTGCAGTACAGTAGCTTGCTTTGGCAGGCTTTGGAGCTTCTGTTTTTACCTTAGTTAAGTGTAGAAACTCATACTTATGTATGTGTTAGAGGGAGATGTCAAGGGTGCCTTCCTCTTGGTAGGCAATTATTTGCTCTGGCTTTGTCTTGAGTGAAATAACAGCGGGCCAGCACCGAGACCGAGCGGCCAGGGGCTCTGCTAACGGGTTTAGCAATTTCACGGGTTATATACTTTAGAGAACCTCATTAAGTGCTTTTTAAAATGAATTTCCAGTTCCAGGCTAACCCCGACTACCAGCTGAGCGGAGACGACACTCAGCACATCCAGCAGTTCTATGATCTCTTGACCGGCTCCATGGAGATCATCCGGGGGTGGGCGGAAAAAATTCCCGGCTTCACCGATCTGCCTAAAACGGACCAGGACCTGCTCTTTGAGTCCGCCTTCCTGGAGCTCTTCGTGCTGCGGCTGGCGTACAGGTACGCGGGCGGCATCCGAGGGGGGAACGTCGGGGCGGTTATGAAATCAGATCCTTTCAAGGTCCGCTGATCTGCATTTTATTAACTCCTCGGTAATTAGGTGCCTCTTAAATCCTTCATTTATTGCTCCTCGAGTAATTAGTTGTTTAGCTTTTCTCCCCCTATCTTCCCTTTTTCTTTTTTTTTTTAAATCTTTCTCTTTCTCTCTCTCTTTCTCTCTCTTTCTCTCTTTCTCTCTCTTTCTCTCTCTCTTTCTCTTTCTCTTTCTCTTTCTCTTTCTCTTTCTCTTTCTCTTTCTCTTTCTCTTTCTCTTTCTCTTTCTCTTTCTCTTTCTCTTTCTCTTTCTCTTTCTCTTTCTCTTTCTCTTTCTCT